AAGACGACAGACAAGGTACTACGATTAAACTTTTTTATTTAATTTTTCTTGTGTTCGAACGAGTGCTTTCTTTTCTGGGTGCAAAGTGTGCATAAACTGTCCAAAAGTTCTGTAATACCAAGCGCTTTCGGCTATACTTTTAGCCATTATCAAGGATGATTTTATTTTTGCTTTTTAGTTGGGTGTATGACTCCTGTGTATGTTATAGGGATGTTTTATTTTCCGAACTCAGTTAGGATATTGTGGCCGTGTTCGGAGTTAATTTTACTGAGTGTTCAAATGTTCTAATTAAGGCTTCCACTATAATAATATAGATATAGATAGGTGTGGCACAAGGCTAAAAGTGTGGAGCACCAAGTGAGGATCGAACTCACTACTCAGTCGTAAATGTTCTAGCGAGACAAGATTGCTAACCACTACACCGCCTCGAGATGCCCAATAAAAACACACACACACACACACACATATATATATATATATATATATATATATATATATATATATATATATATATATATATATATATATATATATATATATATAGTGAACATTGAAGTCAACACTCAGAGGCAACAGTCTGTTTCATGCTAGATGCAATCGTCAGGCCATGAGTGCTGTTATTTTTCTCGGCTATTTATATATACGGGTCAGTGGTGCATTGTGGGTAGTCTATTTTGGCGGTTATTTGACCGGAAGTAGTTTATTTGTTTATTTATTTATTTATATATATTATATATATATATATATATATATATATATATAGTTTATGCAAACTTAGGTAATCAGTATGGGTAGACCTGAGGAGGATGATATCCAGAGAGCTCAATGTAAAATTCAGAGCAGATATGTTTGAATAAAAGACAGACCACGTTAAGATTCCATGTAATAATCTATTTCACCATAACCCCTTTAACAGGGTTCTGGATCATCAGACTTACTTCCAAAAGCTGAAAAAAAATGAAAAGAAAAATGAAAAGAAATTCACACGTTTTTTACGGACCTCATCAAGTATACGTAAAATTAACGAAGTGAGGTGGGAGAGAGGATATGAGTATGTTATATGTATCATTTTAGTTTCCTATTTTAACCCCAGTGTGTCGGCTGGATGTTGCTCAAATTTAACGCGTCTCGTCTCTAGATATAGATGGTTAAGGGGTGAATGATAAGCACGACATTAAAGGAAGAATTTACAACAACCCCAATCAATTACACGACAGGTTTCATTCAAATTCTTAGACGCTGTCAGTTCGCGTTACTTTAACGTGCATATTTGGGAGGTTAAGGTTTGATAAATATCTAAATGTTAAAACAATCTACGAAGAAATTAATTTGAAATTCGGTGGAGTTTTGGGTATTTTCTATGAAACAAATATATATATATATATATATATATATATTATAATAAAAGAAATAACATTAAGATATATAATCCGGTGTTTTTTATTAATATTTTCATTTTTACAAAACAGTGCTCAATACAAATTTACAGAGCATAATTATTATAAATTAACTGATTTACAAATATGCTTCCATCGCTACACAGGAATTACCACGTGTCATAAACAGAAACTAAAAACTTCAAATTCAATTATATAACTCATATTTGATATTAAATAAGTCATATTTGATATTAAATAAGTTATATTTGATATTAAATAAGTTATATTTGATATTAAATAAGTCATATTTGATATTAAATAAGTCATATTTGATATTGTATTGTCGTTAGTATAAATGAACACGCTACCCCCCCCCTTGTTAAAATGATTTTCCCCGTGTCCTTGGAAATGCGAATACAAATATTATGCTTGTAAAATTCAGTAAATTTCAAAATAAGTTATTCCAAAATTCGCTTGAAAATGAAATAGAACTAGGGCCTTTAATTTAATTATACAATTGAATTTAAAGTTTTTAGTTTCTGTTTTTGAAACATGATAATTCCTGTGTAGCGATGGAGCCATATTTTTAAATCAGTTAATATATATATATTATTTCAGTTACTTTCCCAAGGTAAAGGTCGTAAATTTGCTTCCTTGTGGCTTTCTATAAATACTTTCATCGTAATTGTTCGGATGAGCTCTTCGCTATGGCAGCTAAACTATATGAATTTAAGCGCAGTAGATTGTCAGCAAGGTCTCTTCAATATATAGTTTAATTGATTAGATATAACCATAAGTTCTATGCTAATAGTTTATTTTCTCTCACTTCTCGCCTATGGAACTTGGTACAGGCTACATGCTTCCTAGCCAACTTTGATCTTCAAAAAATGCCAATGCAATCGTTATCTATTGTCTTCTTCATTGCTTTTCTATTGTTCTCGCTCTTTAATAATATTTCTGTTTTCTAATTCTTTTACAACCTCTTGTATCTTGGTGGCTTTACTGGGTGAATTTGATTAGAAATATATATTACTATAAACGTTATTTTTAGTGAGTACACGTATTTGAGTTGTTGTCCTTGATTTTCTTAAACAGGGAAAGTAATAAGAAAAGAAACGGCCTAGAATGCGAAGTTCTACTAAAGAAAGATTGTGTCTCCATCAGGGATTGAACATGTATACCTTTTTACATCAGGGAAACCGTTTCTAAAACTGAAATGAGCCTTTATATATTCTGCTACGGTGATCGTATTGATAGACCCACGTTTGAATTACCTATAATAAGATATAAACAGACTGATATATATATATATATATATATATATATATATATATATATATATATATATATATATATATATATATATATATATATATATATATATATATATAACTAGACTATTTCGAAAAACCCTCGAATTTTGATTTGCTAATCAAATCAATCTCGAGGGAAAAAAGGTTTTTAAAAAGAAAGAGCTACAAACATGAACTTCTGCCGACAAAAAAATCGCACAGATGCAGGTCTGAAGCCCAAAAGAAAAACCCCGATACGAGTAACAACTAACTAACAAAAGAGCTCAATACAACCGTAGAGCAGACCTAGATACACCTAGTGAGCCAGACAAACCTACCTAGGTTTCACCTAAACGGATCGTCAGGAAAGTTTGGCTGACGGTCCCTGACGATCCGTTTAGGTGAAACCTAGGTAGGTTTGTCTGGCTCACTAGGTATATATATATATATATATATATATATATATATATATATATATATATATATATATACATGAA